CGTGTGCTCTTCCGATCTGATGTGTGCGTGAGATATCGATATGGTAGTAAATATGAACACATCACTACACACTACTACATCAATATCGCACGCATACATACTCACAAATCGTCGATAAAACAGCGAATTTTTGGAGTTTGATCTCGGGTTTAGGATCCCCTTAATAAAAAAATTATAAAGGCAAATTTGTGTGTAAAAATAAAAATGAAATATTACAATGATATATATAATAAATGAATAAATATGGCATAAATGATTCTGACAAATTAATGTAAATGTAAATTATTTCATAATTCGATAATTGTTTAATTTGTTTAATTAATGCGATTTAACAATGAATCAATAATATCACGCCTATCAGTTAATTGCTAGAGGGTGCCACATGATGCATCCGAACATACTGCCGATACTGCAGCTGTTCTTCGTATCAACGCGAATCCGTTAGTTCTCTGCGGTACCGGCATGATGCAAGTCAACAGAGATCTGTTTTATCGTTGACATTTAATAACTTCAATATATTTATTCGCAAACATTAATTAAAAATAATTGAGTCTTCAATCAGGTAATAAGAAAAATAATCAATTAGCACTTGGGTATTTATTAATAAATTTAAATTACCACGCGCAAATATATTGATTATTAAATAATCAGTACATACATGTTTGGCTTTTTTTCAAATTTTTCAATTAAATAAATGAGAAAGTGTTATATTTTACAGATTTTATTTTTGTACTTCTTGATTTGTATATTTTTCGAAAACGTCATAGCAATAAAACATTAATAAATATTGACTGAATATTAAAATAAATGTTTACCGAAGTGAATAATATTTTTCGCGTAGACTATATACAAATTTCTGAGAAAACGTTTCATTTAAAAAATTAAACTAGAAAAGTGTTATATGTTAAAAATTAAAGGTATGTATTCTTGAAGGCTCAAGCGTATATTAAAGTTAGCATGGTGTGTTTCAATGACGGAGAGTCGCGCGTCAAGAGAGAAGAGCGTGTAAATACCAATTTGGCGGTGTTAAAGCGTTTCTAATCTTCTTCAAGAAAATATATGCTCGCGCAAGCGGCATTTTCGTCGTTCTACAATTTGCGAGAGGGGTCATATAAGAAGTCTCGCCAGCTGGCCGGGTACCAACAATGTCAATGGCATTTCCGAGTCGGGTTAGTGCGTTAATGCGGGGCGAGGTCCCGACACGAGGAAGCTCGCAATTAAGCTGGGCCAGACATCCTGTTTAGAGCGGCACGAGGAGACCAACAGGTACCCCTCACGGATGAGTTATCGTTGTGTCGAGAAAACGCGGAGAGGGATATTATTATCGTTCTTCGCGCGACGAGCCGCGCCGCGAATAAATCCGTCCGCGACGGTTTTCGCCGCCTGCAACCGTGAAAAACGCACCGCCGCGCCGCGCCGCGTTCTCGGCAACGCGTGACTTGCAACTCGTTCGCGAATGCGTCGTCCTCGTCGACGAAATTATACGGATTCTTGAGTAACGATTTTCAACCGAAGGTAAACGTGTCACGACTTTGTTCTCGATTTTCTCGAGTAAAAACGGAGACAACGATTTTTATAATAGAGATTGAGATTTAAAAAGAATTTAGTAAGTCAATCGTAAAAATACGATTATATACTGTCAGATGATTACGAAAAATCTGTATGTTCTTGAAAAGACAGAAGCTCAGTATATAATAAAGAAACTAAATTAATATTGCAAACACGAGGAAAACAAGTTATTTTTTATGACAGCATTATCAACATTATATCTATATTACTATATATTATCCCAACATTCTTTAGCATCTCTCAAACACGTCTCTCTTACGTTTTTTTTTTTAATATTTATGTTGCAGTCAACACATTTAGTTAAAAAGATAGTATTTTACTTGAGTCTCGCTTTGTCCCGATTTATGTCGGGATGTATTTTACTGTTCCAGCAATATTCTATTCTACTGTACTAATTGTAAGATTATCCTATTCCTAATATAACAAGGTGTACTTACCTCCAGGTGAGATTTCGATATGGCCACTGTTGTCCGTGGATGGTGAAACGTTTATGCCTCGTCTTGGCGAATCTGGCATCTGGCTGATCCGGTAATCCGCATCTCCTGGCTTTCATTAATTTCTTTGTCGCCTCATCGATCTCACCCGTCACGGGAATACCACCGAATTTCTGAAAATTTGAAATATATTTTAAATAATACTTATTTTAAAGACAAATTTCTAAAAGAAGAAATATTACAAATTGAAAATTTCCATTCATTTCATACGTGTGTTATCTACAATCAATATTAAAAAACAAATCGAAAGATGCTAAAAATTTTCAATCTAATTATTTGCAACAATCATTCTTTTGTAAATAACTTCTTCTATTTTCCATAAAATTATTATAAATCAAAATGAAAAATATAAAAATATATATATTAAAAATTAATATTTTTCTTCTTTTTCATTGTTCTCTTCGTATAAAATTTAATAAAACGTGTTTTTTCTAGAAAAGTATCGAATAATTATTAATGAATCTATGTCTCACTATTCTAATCGATATCTCAAGTAAGTATCTTTTTCTATCGTTTGCGTAATATTTCCCGGAAACATAGGTAATCGCTTCCTCCAGTCGATCTGACAATGAGAAGATCCTTTTTTTATCTTTCTGAACAGAGATAAACGCTTTCGAGCATTTCAACCAGGAAGCGTCCGGAATCTGACAAACGCGATTATCGATAAAACCATCGAGAGATGATAGTCTACGGCTGGAACCCGGGCTTTAGACCCGAGATTAGAATGTCCGAGGCATTCCGATGCGTTTCATTTCGCGTTCGAGTTTGATCCCTTCGATCAGCGGATCTACTCGGCTTCCTATCGCTCTCAGACAATGGTTAGGTTATGCAGACATTTGCGAGGTAAAAATAGTAAGAATGCCGGCTCGCGCGCGTTCGCTCAATGAAGATTTACATGAGAATGGAGAATGAAGGAGGATATACGACGGAATTCGACGAGATCCCTTAGGACATTTGCCCCATTTTCCTATTTCTCTTTCGACGGGAAATTCCCATCGATTCGCGCCAGCTTCCGGGGAATCGCGTTCTCGAGATGAACACTCTCGCGGAATAAAGAAATTCTATGTTGATCTCACAGTGAACTCACACATACACACACACTCTCTCTCTCTCTCTCTCTCTCTCTCTCCCTCCTCCTCCTCCTCTCTCTTATCTCTGCAGTAAAGTTCTCGCGTTACTTCAAAATGCATTATATTACGTAAATTGCAGCGAAAATAATAATTAATCTAAGCGAAATTATGAAAGTAGATACGCAATTAAATTTCATTTAAAAACATATAGAATTAAACAAATGGTTTTAATTAAAATTTTAAGATTGTACATGCAAATTGCAATAGAAAAATCAATGCAAAACGTAGGAAGAAAATATTTCATATTCAAAATAATAACATTGAGATAAATTAAATTGTTACATGGCTTGTTTGTTTCAGCACGCGCACCGCGCGCGATGAACTCCTATCTCTCTCTATATCATAATTTTGCTTACCTGCAGATTTTTTATAGCGTCCCTGAGTTGACCCTCCATCCGCAGATTTCCTGTCTCGAGATCAGTCGGAGGTAAGTAACCAAATCTCATCAGGTAATTTTGCTGCAACAGAGAAAAGAAATTGTTAGATTCAACAATATTAAATAAATGCAGAAGATAAACGTTCTCATATACACAATTATGTACAAGATATATAATATATATGTATAAAAATAATATATTATATATGTATTATAACATATTATGTATAAGATACATAATATATAATCTTATATAATATTATTATAGTGGCTATTAGTGAGATACCGATTTATTTTGAGATTATTAACATAATATATATTATCAAGTTATTATTAATATAATATATGATTGGATTACTAATAATAATATACGCATATAATTGAGAAATTTATATAGTAAAGGAATCATTTTGTTTTTCGTTGTGTATTTTAAATGTTAAACATTTCTTATGTATCGATAATTTTAAAATATTTGCTTCAAGATGTTTAAAATATACACGCACACACATCGTTTTACTACAATAAATAGATTCAAAATTTACATCCTTATTGCAATGACTTATGTCATGACACAATTAAAAAATTAGATCTTATATAAAAGAATATATTTCCCCCCTTCTCTCAAAAGTTCTTTTATATAAGATCTTCAACAAGATCTTATATATAAAATTTATATTTTTACATATAATCAATCATCAAAATCGGTCTCGTTATCAATGATACACAAAGCAAAATGCTATACTTTCGTTAAGAAATCTATGAAATGTTCTTATAATTTACTCGTAATTTAATGCCGGAAATCTAATACTATACTCCGACATTGAAAAGTGAATTTAACCGTAGGACGTGTTCGCAAATTTACAACCACTCCATGTTCTCGTGCGGCAGGCTGTTAATTTATGCACATTACCATGATTACCTGCCGACCGACCTAATGAGAAATAGTTCAGTAAGTATGTGTACACATTATCAGATCGCGCATGCGGCGCTGATTATTACAGAATATAATCTCACTCGCTCTCTGTTTTTCCTTTCTTTTTTTTCGATTGATTCTTCGTTGACTAGCACGACAATTCATCGAATCGCATGTTGATGGAAATCACGGCAAAATCCTTTCTTCTCTTTTTTTTTTCACGCTGACTAACGAGCGCGAAAACGCGAACAGATCGGGGTGGAAATTATTTTGCGACACGAGATCGTTACCGTAACGAGGATAAAACGTGCATTATGTAATTCCGGATAATATACGTTTGCGTATCACGGATATGTGCGTGCAAATATGAATTAAGTGCTTATTTGCGCTTAACTGTATCGATTTATCCGTGTATATCGGGTATAAAAATTGTGGTAACCAAGTGGTGCGACAAAAACGTTCAGCGCCACTCGAAATTGCGAAAGGAAAAATATTTTTCGAACTTTTTCATAAAACTAGTTTTGTTTTATTAACCTTTCACTAGTGTGTCAATTTTTTTTCATTACTTTTTCCGTTTAACAAACATGCATTGGCCAAAAGGTCCGATGAAAATACTAGTAGAATAATAAACGTGAAATTTTGTTTTACTTCATCTAAACAATGTATAAAATATTGGCTTAAAGATTAAAAAAGTATGTATTCTCAAAAACAATTTATTATATATTTTTGGCAATTGATTTATTCGCGAATAAAAATTTTGTAGTGCTGACCTCTTAGCTTTAGCTAACGTTATTAAAGCATAATTTTGTCGAATAGTCTCTTTTTTATACTTAAAATAATGCGAAATTGCAGATAGTTTTCAGGATAGAATGTGCGAGGGAGAAGTGAAAGACCATAAATCCGTGGAAATTCACAAGACATAAACGTTCATTCTCATATCGAGTCACGGTCAGTTATTTCGCGTTAAACATTCTTTTTAGATCGTTATTTCGCGCACGGCCGTAAACGTTAAATTATAGGCCGCGAGATGGGGAAAGACTATATAGGGTTTACGGAGGTTTACCATATATCATGTTACGCAATATGTAAGTGTAATATTGTACGTGAACTGTTGTACACCGGCTAAACACGGTGCATATGCTAAACTTGTGGGAGCGTAGATATTTACGTGAGTATTGACTCGAGAAATTAATTAGAACACGCCTAGCCTGCTATCGAATTATATCCCCCATTGATATTGTATCCAGAATAATATTAAATTATTCAAATACCTCTTTGAATAGAAGAATTTTAATATATAATTACAAAAATTCAATCAAATATATATGAACAATCTATAATAAATTAATTCTGAATAATATAAAATAATTTTAAAAATAATAATTTTAATAACAATTTTAAAATTATGTTCCAATTATGTTTATAAATAAGAGACAAAGAGAAAGATTTCTGAATAATTCAAAATATAAATTTCCACTCTATATCTCTAATTTCTATATCTCTATAAATTTCCATTCTATATCTCTAAATTAATCTTGAGAGTAATTATTGTTAATTGTTTAATATTATATACTTAAGTAAGTTTTAAATTTATATTTTATAAAAACTTATCTTTGAACAATCTATCTTTGAAGAACCTGTTTATTTTTTAAACAATTATATAGTTCTACAGTCAAACCTCAATAACTCGAATCTCAAGGAAAGAGAAAAACTCTTCGAGTTATAGAGTTTTCGACTTATCGAAGTTTGAGTAAAAAAGGGTTAACATATGAAAATTCGACTTACGGAGGCTTTGTTAAACAAGAGTATAATTTTCCGATTATAATGACTTTTAAAGGAAAAAAAATTAATATTTGATAATGAATTATTTATTGCATACATATAATAAATGTAATCATAAAACAAAATATCGGGCTATAACTCATGGTTACACATAGCTACAACTTCGAATTATAGAGGTAATGGCAATAGAAGTTCGACTTATAGAAGTGAACTTCAATTTAGAGGTCTGGCTACTTTAAATTCGAGTTGCAGAGGTATAATAATACAGCTAAATATCTGACAAATCTTTCGAGTTAAGGTAGGTTTTATTTCGATTTATAGAGGTTTTCTGCAGTGAAGCAGAATGAACAAAATTTTCGTCTAATAGAGGTTTTTGAGTTGTAGAGATTCGACTTTTATGGTCTTTTCTTTACAGAAAATCCATTTTTGGAGGTTTTTATAATGTAAGAATTGTAAATCTTCAATTTCATTTTCCAAATTGAATGAATATTTCTCGCGCCTGAAGTGCAAAAAGAAGAAACGGTGGACGTAATTTCGCGGATTAGTGGCGTACTAAAATCGCCGCAAATTTCGCGGAAAGCGTCCGTTGAGATGACGAAATGGTCGGAAGTCTGTTAGCCAACACGTGGCGGGGTGTCGCTATCTTTAGGGGTTCCTCGAGTATCGCTCCAGACGAAGGAAGCGTCTTGTTCCCGACTGCCGCCGCGCCGTCGCCCGCTACGGGAACGAATTCCGATTCGTGCCAGGAAATAAAGAAGTTCAGGCTCGCGTACTGTTCCGATTTTCGGCGAAAGGAAAAAGAAGAGGAGGAAGGTAAGAAAAACGATTAAAAGGAAATTGTTCTTGGCGAAAGAACGTTCGATATTACGGGCAAGCAAGAAAAGCGCGAAACAATTTATAACTTGCTGAACTATAATAATAATTTTAATTAGTATTACTTCATCTAAATAATTAATAAATTGACTGAAAGATTAAAAAAGTATATATTCTCAAATACAATTTATTGTATATTTTTGATTTTTTCGCAAATAAAAATTTTGTAGTGCTGACCTCTTAACTTTAGCTAACGTTATTAAAACATAATTTAGTCGAATAGTCTCTTTCTCTTTTAAGAGGATGCTGAAAGGTCGGCCAAATTTGTACAAGGTCGATAAAGCAGACTCTTCAGTGTCAGTAGTATCTCTAAATGAACTTCTTACAATATCTTTTGGTCTCACTCAAACACGTGGAATGTCCTTATCTAACTTATTAAAGTGCCATCTCTTGGAAAATCCGACACTTACTGCCAGACGCAATTTTTGCTGTCTTTACTTTAGCCGAGCGTACGAATTACCACAAATTGCATTCTAAGTAATAATTGTTTTTCTACGCTTCCAATTGTTGCTCCAAAGGTCTTGTATTATTCGTGCAAGTATTCCGATTCGCGCGAATTACTTTTTTTGTACATATGAGCTACAGAACTTTTGTATCAATGAAATGTTTACGTCAGGTTATGATTGCTCTACGATACGGAAAAAAGGTAATTTTTTAATATTTTTTCGTTTTTACTACAAATTTATAATTCGCGCGTTTACATTTGATCTCAATTTCAATCCTGTAAAAGCGTTTTCAAATCCGTTCAGTCGTTTTGGAGTTATTACTTAGAATGCAAATGTCGGTAATTTCCGACCTTTCAGCATTCTCTTAATTATTAATTAATAAAATTTAAATTATTTTAAAAAATATACAGGCTATGTTCTCCTTAAAACTCAATTGCGGCAATGACAACAAATTTATCTCTATAATTTTCAGGGAATTTTGAATTCTCTCTAACGAAATTTCTCAGATGAATTTATGGAGAACATTTTCGATTCGTGAAAAATTGCCGGAAACAAACGACGCGGACAATTTCGCTTGTCTTCGCGCATTTGTAAAACCTTTCAAGTACCAACGATAAATGCGATATTCTCCGATGTCCTCGACAAAAGAGTCTTTGAAATCACAGAATGTCATTAGGACGATTGATGTTTGATCCCCCTTCTCCATTCAATCTGTCTGCTTTTAGACGTTTCAATTTTATCTGTCCAAACGCATATATATATCTATACGTATGAAAAATGATATTTATAGCTTGATAATAAAAAGTGCGCCAAGAAAATATAAGCCAAGAAACTGTCTTGTATAAGAGTTTCTCATAAAATATTCATGATATTGAAAATTTACAATCTAGCAGAAACGATACTTTTTAAAACCAATTTCTTTTGTATAAAAAATTTTAGTGAATATAAAAATGTAAGATCCACAGGCAAAATATTTTACAATTACATTGTTTCAAAAGTATAAATTTTTACTGAAATTAAAAAAAATTAAAGAATTACACACTGTGTTTAAAAAAATTTGTTATTAAT